TATCAGAAGTGATTTCAGTATTTTTATGGATGAAAAGTTAATGATTAAGCTAGATGTATTATTTACTATAATGCAATTACAAATTTTACATGAAATAAACCTCCAGAAAGAAAATCTTTGCAACAGTATCAAATTAATCGTAAGTTACTAAACTGGTTAAGTATTGGTTTCATATCTGAACTACACTGCAGAGTAACTACAAAGATGAGTTAAAATTGATTTGAGATTGCCAGCACTGTTATGGAGGAGATGGATCTACTACAATGGCAGTTTCCATATCCAATTGTAACACTGTAACATAATTGTATTCCTGACTGATTGTGATAGCTATCAAGCAAGAAATTTATGACAAGATTAACAGAGACACAGTAATGAACAAACATGGGACGCATCCTGTAATTGACTTTTATTAAAGTGTTGTCATAGTGGTCTGTAATAAATTTCCCATCTCCAGCTTTCTAGAGAAACCAAAGGCAAAACTTTCTACTACTTTTAAAATTGAGGCATGCAGATCTCCCTAGCCCCTCTCTCCCCATTCCACTGCTTACCTAACAAGCACATTGTTAAAAGCCCAAAGGGGGGTGGAAGGGACACTGCACATATTAAGAGTGATTTAGTTTTTGTTGTTGGTGGTGGGTGCCATGGAGTTGCCACCTAGCGACCCTATGTAAAACAGAACAAACAAAGCACTGCCACATCCTATCCCATTGTAGCAGTCACTGTGTCAATCCATTTAGTAAAGTGTCTTTCTCTTTTTCACTGACCCCTCTACTTCACCAGCATGGTGTTCTTCTCCAGGGATTGGTTCATTCAAATAATGTGTCCAAGTATGTACGACAAAAATCTCACCATCCTTGATTCTGAGCAGTATCCTGACTGTACTTCCACCAAGCCAGATTTGTTTATTCTTTTGGCAGTGGAGTTCTGGTTTGGTGCTGTAGGATAAGCACTGAACTGCTAACTGCAAAGTTGGCAGTTCAAACCCACCAGCCACTCCTCAGAAACCCAACACAGGGTCCCTATGACTTGCATGGCACTTTAACAGTATAGTCAATGTTCTTTGCCAACACCATACTTCAAAGACATCAGTTCTTCTTTGCTCTTCCTTATTTATTGTCCATCTTCTGGATGACTCTCAGGCAATTGAAAATACAATGGTTTGGGTCAGGTACACCTGTGTGACATCTTTGCCTTTTAACATTTAAAAAAAAAATATTTTGCAGCAGATTTGCCCAATGCAATAAGTAGTTTGATTTCCTGATTGCTGCTTCCCTGAGTGTTGATTGTGAATATAAGTAAAAATGAAATCATTGTAGGTAGATTTCAAAATTGCAAAGAGCAGGTAGGTCTTAATCTTAGGAGACTCAGAGATAGCAATGAAATTATAACAGATCATTTTTAGTTATAACTTGTCCAAAATGATTAAATGTATTAAAGTTAAGAAAATGATGTGCCTAGGAAATGGGATTTTTCCCAATACAATGATGGCAACCCTTTTCATTCATATTTTAATGAGGTTAGTATCTCTGAGACAGTCCTCCTTGAGAGGACAATCCATTCTGGAAGATTACAATAGGAGTTGCGTTATTGACACGTACTATTGAAAATCTTAACCCAGGATAGAAAGACTTAGTTATATTTCTACTTGTACCAATACTTACTGCATTCTTACTATCAAGATACATTTGTGGGGGAGGGGAAGGAGGCTAGAAACAGTACTTAAATTTACTGAAGATATTTCAGCTAAGTGAAATCATCATAAACTCAAATCATGTAAGTTTTAATAAATGTAAAGAACTGACCTGTACAACTTTTTAAGAACTTTTTTTTCCAAAATTCAATGCTTTAATTGGATTTTTAAGATCAAAGTATTATTTTATATTATGTAAAATAAACTCTATTAGTCTTGTGTTATTTTTTTTCCTTTCTGTTTTTAGTGAACATTATAACATAACCTCTTCTGAAGTGTCTGCTAGCAAATATTGTCTGTGTTCAAAGAATGCTTACAAACAAAAACTCATTATATCAAAAAGTCAGTTAGCCTTGCTGTTGTTAAGTGCCCTGCGGTGGTGGAGTTGGTTCCTACTCATAGCAGCCCTGTATAGGGTTTTTGAGGAGCAGCTGGTGAGCTTGAACCGCTGACCTTGCAGTCCATCATATTAACCCACAATGCCACACCAGGATTCCTTAGACTTGCAAAACTAATCAAAATTTACATGTTATTCCCTTGCTATAACATAATGTTGAAATAGGCACAATGCTACTATATCTGGATAAGTAAAATTTTATTTCCCAAATAAGAAAAACCATCATTGTTAGGTGGAAAGTGTTAATGTGGGGGCCTGTTTTTTAAAAAGTATATCAGTTGTTATTGTTGAGTGCCATGAGTAACAACTCAGTAAACTACGCGCAAATAGATCTCCAAAGTAACTCTTGAACCCTGTCTCAGGGTTAATACAAGTTTGTTTGAAATTTATATGCTCAGTAGTTTGTGTGCACAGGCCAATTTAAAAACATCATCTCAAGTGTGGCTTCTACCCAAGATAAAAATACCTTGATGTGTTAGTAAAAAGTTTAATTAATATTAATATTCTAATAAGTGAGTCTCAGTGGAGTCCTGGAGTCCTGGTGTGGTGCTATGGGCTGATGTGCTAGACTGCAAAGTCAGTTTGACCCCCAAGGTTGGTAGTTCAAGCTCACCAGCCGCTCTTCAGAAACCCTCTACAGGGTCGCTATGGGTCGGAACCATCTAGATGGCACTTAACAACAACAATAAGTGGAGTCCTGGTGTAGCGCTGTAGGATAAGCACTCAACCGTAAAGTCGGTTTGAACCTTAGTGTCGGCCGTTCAAACTTACCAACCGCTCCTTGGAAACTCTATACAGGGTCACTATGGGTCGGAACCTAGGTTCACGGTCGAACAGACAGGACGGCACTTAACAAAGAAGTGTTTAAAAGCACTCTTCAGTGCTCAATCCTTGCCCTCTTGTGGTAGCATCCCCACCCCCAAATATGCAAATATGTTTACTTTTCTGACTAGGGAAAGAGTGAGAGAAGCCGGGAAGGAGGGAGAAAAAGAATGAATTTCTTAATTACAGTTAGATTATTGTAAATGCAAGAGTCTACTCTTCATTTAGAAAGCAAAAGGCTGCCTTGCTGGCATCTAGAAAGCACTTTGGGCTTTACATGTATTAGGTAAGGAAATATGCTTAAAGTACATCCATCACAGAAAAAACAAACATTCTATTTGTCTGCCTTAATTAATTGTAATTTATGAATTTACCTTTGCATTTTGTAACTTTTTCAGCGATTGATACATACTTCATTCTTTGTTTCTATAAATTAAACAGATTTTCAATTTTGTTTGTTAAACTATGTATTGCTTTATTAAAAAAAAAAACCTACAATACTATTTATGCCTTACAATGAAGGCGTAAATAACATGAAATGTATGCTTTAAGCCACTTTCTACTGTAGACATTTTTGAAAATTAAAAGTTGTCTTCACAACTTGACATTTTAGTGAATTCACAAATATTGTTGTATATTCTAGTTTCATAAACTACTTAACAGTGTAATGAAGGCATGGGCCTTGAAAGCTTTTAAAAAATAAAGTAAAATCAAGGTTTTTTGGGGGGGAGAAGGGAGGAATATTATTACATGTGCACATGATTAGGCATAGTTGATAGTTAATTAGTAGGTTTTTTAAAAAAATTTTTTTTTGCTCGTTTCTTTCCCCATGTTTCTTATTTAAAAAAAAAAATTTTTTTTGAAGTTGATTCTTATTGAAAGGGGGTGGGGGTGGTTGTGGTGGTTTATAATGGAACCTAGATGGGGGGGGGGTGAGTGCACACACAACAAAACTGAGCTTTAATTTTAATTCTGCAGCTCTTACTTATCTGATTTGTGGCCAGATGGCGGCGAAGCAAGGAAACCCTTTGTGTAAATGAGGCCCACATGCGAACGCGCTTCTGTAATGTAATCGTTGGGACCGGAAGGGTTCATACTGCGTCTGAAAAGGGACAATAGAGACTGGATATATCAACATTGAAGAAATCGAGTTCATTTGTGATTCAGTCCCTTTCACTATGGTTGTCATGAAAACTTCCTACTTTGATCAGCAGAGGGTGGAGAGGAAAAAAAAATCTTCTAAAGACCGAAGGATGCCGCACTGTTGTGCGCGGTGCACTTGGCTCGGGTTCACGCCCCCTTCCGGAAGGAGTGCCAGCGACCGCAGCATCCTGCACCTTGACCTGTCTAGACTGCAGAGAGGTTTTTTGTCTCGGTTACCAAGGGCGAGGGATGCTCTTTGACCCTTAGCGCTCGGGCGATGAGATCCTCACTCGGGGCGGAGGTGGTGTCTAAATGGTCTTGCTGAATTTGGCTGAATTCTGAAGAGAGAGGGATGGACAAAGACGTGGGCCAGCTGTTCCCAAATAGAGCTGGAATGGGAGCTGGGAGAAGTGAACTTTCGTGTAAGCCACTCTTTTCCTCCTTTTCCCCCCGCTTCCACATTTCCCTTGGGCATGCATTACACAGCTGCAGCGAAGTTGACGAACAGATCAGAGGAGAAGATTTCAGAGCAAAACTTTCGCCCTAAGTTCTCTAGAATCCAGCTCTTCTTCAGTAGAGTTCCAAAACGTGTAGATTGATAACAGCCGTTCTCTGCGCTTCATGGTTTATTATGCAGGTTTACTGACTTTTAAAATGATATGTTTATGATTTCTAGTTTGAATGTGAAGTGTTATTTTGTGACAACTTTCAGATGTGTACTTACTTTCTCTTACTGTATGTAAATAATATAATTGTACAAATAACTATATTAGGATATGAATGTATTAATGGGAGATTATGTATGCTTCCATCTGTATTCATTTGAATATCTTTATATAATATTAAAATGAAGACACATTTCCTCTCCGTGTTGCTTTTTTTTAATAGATTCCCTTAGCTCAGTCTGAGGCGTTCTTAACAGACCTTTTGGATAAAGTATGTGAGCGGATGAATGACTACAAACTTGAAGAAGACCCTGTAACTAAAGAGAGAACTTTCAAGAGATTTGCTCCAAGGAAAGGAGACAATATATACACAGAATTTAAACAATTCCGTTTTTATTCTGATGCTTACAGACCTTTGAAATTCGCGGTAAGCTCTCTTCTTGGCAGCTGAATCATGTGACCCATGAAAATCTTTTAGCTACTTTTCTGTATGTTGGTTTGGGTGATGGTTGAGTTTCAAGAAATTGAACATTAAAGTGCACATTAATATATTTATATATTTACTATGTTCTGTTGCTTTAAAAATGTTGATCATACTTTTAGCAATTTACCTTTTGAGTTGTGGTATATTTCACTATGGAGACATTTATGATATTTTACAGAAAGTACTGCTTACAAATTACAGGGTTTTTTAAAAGACACAGTTTGCACCCAGATGTACTCAAACCATTTTGCCTGGGTGGGCGTTCCGGGAATACTTTTAGGCAGATCTGTCGCCAAGGCAAGTCCCTCACAAATTTCCACTTAAGGAACCAGGGGCTGTGGTTAGTAGGTTAAAATGGAAATTAAATCTAATATAGTTTTCAAATATTTATAACCAAACTATGGAGGGGGAGTGAGGTACTCATCTTACCTCCAAAGGCTTCCCAAAACAGAGAGAAGAAATTTCCTGAGTTAATTCATGTCTTCTAGCACACACTAACTTAAACAAAGGCTTAGATGTGTGATAGCTGGCTTAGTGCCAGATAGTCTTCCCATGTATGTTTATTTTCTGTGAATGCTGGTCACTGTCTTGCTTGAGTGTGCTTGGCAAAATATATTGCAATATATTTCACTTTATTTAATGCTGTTGAACCAAATGGAGGGGGAAGTCTGTTTAAAAAATCTAAGTGCAAAATGTCAGGCAGGCTGAACCACCCTGAGAGGACTTGAGCTGACTTGTGAAGATTTCATTTTCATTAAATAGCAGTGAAAACAATTCTGCATTAAAAGTACTGTGGGATAGGAATGGTGATGTGTGTGTGCTTGACTTTTACAGTTTTTCAATAAATACAGGAGAGTGGAATTTCAGTATTTTTAAATGCCACTTAAAATTTGAGAGTCATGCTTAATGAACTCATAAAATGATTTACAAAAGTCTCTAGCGAATGCTGTTGACCAACTTCACAATTCCTAAAAGTGTACACTTGTAGCTCTTTAGCAGTAGCATTTAAGATTTTCAAATACATGGGGAAATTCCAACTCCCTCTTCTCTGATATGCAGTACTGAAATACTGTAATGAAATTCTGAATAAACCTTTAACTGGTCAGAAGAGAAACTTCCCTAAGTAAACTTCAAGCAAGGGATATTTAAGGGTATTTGTTTTGATTGCTAAGAAAGTTTAATTGTTTACACACTCCAGATTCTGTTTTAAAACACCACAATGGAGTATTATATTAAATCTGAAGGAAATGGGGGTTAGTTATTTCAAGGAGCTGTGTTCTTTAACATGGTTTCTTGTTTTTGTTTTTTAATTAAGACTTTGGAGCTCCAGAAGTAGTTGACCCATTTTTTACTATGGAGTCAGCTTCTAAGTGTGAAGAGTCCTCCCTTCCTCATCCTCAGTCTTTCAGCATGGCTAATCATTTAGTTAAGTCCTAGGAAAATGATGCAATTAACATTCTGGGAGGAAGGTTAATCCCATACAATGATGTATTAAACTGAAAGGACTAAGAAAAATGGACCACCTTGATAACACAATTTTATAATTTTGACTAATAAACTTTTGATTAAGCCCTTCCCAATAAGGCGCGCAGTGAGTGTGTATATATCCACATATGTTGTTATTATATTTCTACAGTGTGAAACAATAATAGAAGAGTATGAAGATGAAATATTTTTACTTATCGGCCAGGAGGCAGACGATCTAGCTGACAAGCTGTGCAGTGAAAAATCAGGTACTGTGTCTGATGTAACATGTGCTCTCTCCCTTGCTCTCCCCCTCTCGCTCTCACTCAGCAGTTCAGTCTCTCTCTCTCTCTCTCTCTCTCTTTTTTTTTTTCCAAATGGAGCCTTCGCATTGCAACTAATGCCCTGAGCCCTGGGGAGGGTTCTCCTCTGAATGAGAAAGGACTCACTGAGAGAAAACACACAAACCAAACCACTGAGCTAGAGGTTGACTGTTTTCCCTTCCTTTCCTCTATATTTCAATGAATTCAAAAGTATGTGGATTCTAAAAAATTAAAGAGTACTTTCTCTTCCAGAATTAGCTGTACAAAGCAAGTTTTTGTTTTGTTTTGAACTTTTGTAGACTAAATTTTCCATCTTTAACCAAGAAAGAAAAATTTCCTTGTGACTACTATTTGCTGCATCTGCAGAAGGAAGTACCTTTATTTAATAAGAACTCTCAAAGGTTTTTTGTGGGTTTTTTTTTTGCGGGGGAGATGGGGGAGCTTGGTGTTTGGGAGTGAGGTGATTTTTCCCCCCCTGGTTGTTTCTACTTCTTAAACTAGCTCTCTCTCTCTCTCTCTCTCTCTCTCTCTCTCTCTCTCTCTCTCTCTGTATGTGTGTGTATGTCTGTGTGTGTGTGTGTGAGAGAGAGAGAGAGAGAGAGAGAGAGAGAAAAGAAAGTAACATTTGCTTCGTGGTCTTAAACCCACACAACCTCAGAAACTCTGAAAACTGACCAGAACTTGATTTACCATGTACAAAGTTGAAACACTACCACCTGCCCACCAGTCTGGTTGACTGAAAGTATATCTCTAATAAAATATCATTTTGACATTTTGATACTTATTTAATGCATTTATAAGAAGGTAGCACAAGTTAAGCATTTTTTTTTTTTTTAGAAATACTTTGAGAAACAATGAATGAAAATCTATGAAGGCCATGCTTTTTAAAGTCAGCATAGTACTCTTAAACAGCATGGGTGTCTGGAACATTTAGCATTTAGGAGTTGTTTATAATGAAACAATACAGTACACTTGCATAAACTTTGCAATAAAAAAATACAGTACACTTGCATAAACTTTGATGCACCAACTGTATTGAACTTAAAGTTTAGTATTAATATCCTTAAAATAAACTCCTGGTGTGGTGCTGTAGGATCAGCATTGTACTGCAAACCACAGTGCTGGTAGTTCAAGCCTACCAGCTGCTTCTTGGAAACCCTTTACAGGGTTGCTAGGAGTTGGAGCTGACTCCACGGCACTTAACAGCAGCTTTAAAAAATAATAATTATTGCATATTTAAAATAAATATGTGATCAAAGGTTATTCACAATAACATCAAAAATATAAATCTCTATGAACAAGACTGTTTAAGAGTGGTTTTGCTCTGAATAGATTATTGGGTTTTCTATTTAAAAGATATTTGTAATGAAAAGCTGTAGAAATTCACAGTGAAATCATATAGTCAGGATTATTCAAGTGTTTGTGATAGATAGTCCACTGATTTTGGTGGGTAATTAGTAATTTGTGAAATTCTCATAAATAAGTTCATAGATTTAACTTCCCAAAGAAAGTCTTTTCTTAAGTTTTTCAAATATTTCAGAGCTATATATGCATTAAAATATAAGCAAAATCGTGAAGAACAATATTTAGCATATTGATTTTCCTATGCTTTTCTCATAAAGGGTTTGTATTTGTTGTAGTTATATATGACATATGTAAATTTGCTATATGAAGACTTATTCAAATGTTGCAGGAGGACTGGAGAAAGTTTCACCATTTATTACCGCTGTCTCTATCAAATATGAAGATTCTGGGGAAAGGTTCTGTTCCCAAGTTTAACAATTCAATTTCATTTCAGTCATATTAACTCCTACTTTTTCATTTCTTTTATACATTTGTTTTTGGAAATAAAAATTAAGCATTAGCCTTGAGAAATGCAAGTTTAAAAATAAAGACATATAATATTAGTAGAATAATAGAAAGCATTATTAAATAAATGATTAAGTCTTACATTTGATTTTTTAAAAAACCGAGTTAAGTGCTTACTAGTACAAACATAAATATGAGTATCTCCAAGCTACTGAGAGTAAAAGGTACACTCTCAAAAGAGTAAACTCCCAATGGCTGCTGCATAGTGAAGCTGTATGATCTTTAAAAATCAGGTTACATTTATATTTCTGTGAAGCATTTTGGTGTATATTCTAAAATACTTATAAATTAAGAGCTGAGAATAATTTAACTTAAAAGAAGACTAAGCACTCCCCCCCCCCCGCAAAAAAACAAAAACAAAAAAGTCAGTAGCAAGGTAGAGATTTTTTAAACTTAAACACTATTAGTAAAAATCTCAAGTAAAACATTAATAAAAATATTCTAATTAATGATCTCAGCAACAAAGAACAAGTAGTATGCTTCAACATAGTGAGATAGTTTTCAGACAAATGGGCAAAACATGAGACTTGAATCTTGTAGAAAAACTTCAGGTGCTTACGTGTATCATCTAAAAGACAAGTACAATACATTTCCTACAAACTTACTCATATTCACTTTGTAAAAAGAATACTTGCTCTTGTTCAGTTATGTAACAACTAAGACATGAACTCCATGATTTAAATGTTTTAAAGATAAGATTGTGTAGATATGTGTATGTATGTATTGGAGATTATAAAAATATCCATCAACCAAAAACTGCTTACTGAGTATATACTACGTACTTAGGGTCATATTGAGTTGGAATCTATTTGCAGCAAAGGGTTAGTTTGTTTTTTTACATTTAAGGTTTTTATTGTGGATTGAGTGAAAGTTTACAGGGTATATCATCAGTTTTACATTCAACAAATCATACACCTTTTTTCATTACAATGATTATAATCCCCTCCATTTACCATTGGTTAACAGCATGTCTCTCTATCCACTTTAGCTTTTTAAAAAATAAACAAACAAGCTAAGGGTTAGTTTTTTAGTTATATTATGTACAGGAAGCTAAATTGAAAGCTGTTAAAATGTCTACATGCCAATTTTATGAAGATTAATAATTATTTTAAATGTAGGAACTTTTATAACTAGAGATTTGATTGGAAAATTAATCACTCTGTATACTTTATATACACATTTTATATATATGAATTTTGTTTTTTCTACTTCACGGGCATCATTTCACTTTATTTTTAATAATTCCATATGAGCAGATGAGGGCACATTCATTAAAATATTAAAGGCCCTTATGTTCACCTCCCATAAAAAAAAAAAAAAAGAAAAAGAAAAAAGGAGAAAGCATATCTTATGTCAGACTTAATATGACTGTGTTTGAGTTCACATTAGTGAGATTTTCATAAATTCTATGTGCCAACTTTTGTGTGAGTGAAAAATCTCAATGCAGATAAATCTATGGTTGCCATTATCCTTTTATTTATAAATCCCACTATTTATTTTCATTTTCCCTAAGGATAAAATAAAATTGAGTTTACCAGACTTTACTGGTGGAATATTCTGTGGCAAATACTCTAGGCTTCTCCAAATGGTTATGTTGATGTCTGGAGTTCAAAGTGATCTTTTCAAATCTTAAAACTGTTGAGGGGAAAAAAAGGGAAAAAAACAAACAAACAACAAAAGCAAAATGAATGAATCTATATATATAAAGACAATAATAAAGTCTAGGTACAGGTTAAGGTAGGGAACTCCGTATTGCCATGGGTTATGAAAGAATGTATACGCTTATATTACAGAGTATTAAGGGTGTAAGTATAAACATAAAGATCTTCTGTATACATACCACTGAGTTTTAATATAAAACCTTATCATCTAAAGCAGTCATGACTGATCAATTTGTCACATAATGACTTTGAATGTACTTTATACAGAAAGTATCAAATACCTAGGAGCCTTTAGCCTATATGTAAAGTAAAAACATTTTTACCTTTCTATGTAGAATAATGGAGGTGTTAATTTCTAATATACAAAATTACGTTCAAAAGCTAACACATTCCCTATTTCTAATAAGTCATGTAGCTGAAACAATCCATAGCCTTTACTTCATTGTTTCCAGTTGGAAAAGTAGTATATATCAAAGTATCTAATTGCCTCCCTGTTCCTTGGATTAAATGCTCAGTGTCCTACGCCCTTTGGCAAACTGTGTAACAAGAGTGGATCTTTTCTAAAGCTTCGGTGTCTATGAATGAAATGATCCAGTGCCTTGGATTCATTTTTAAATGCTCCAGCCAAAGAACAGTAGAAGATAAAACAAGGACAGCAGTATGTCGCTCATTGTTGAAACATGATGCTAGATGGATGGACATGGATTTTATCTTTCTTACTCTTTTTATGGGTATGTGAAATTTTCCATGATAAGTTTTAAAAATGCACTTCTGCACCAACATACTTTGTGGGGAATTCAATTGATTGAATTGTCTAGTAATTAATATGATAGTGATGTTCTCCAACTTTTTGTTTTCCAGATCTGTGTGAACCTTCTACTAACCTCACTGAACTCTAGGAACAACTGCTACTAGTTACAGAGAGGAGTAAACCCACCTCCCACAAGGTCAAAGTCTACATGTTATGTTTCCATAAGAAATTATATACTTCTTGTTTATACCACGTTTGTCTAATGCATGGTTTTAATTGAAAATCTGTTGTTTGGCCTCATGACAAACTTATTCTTGTAGGTAAAATTGAAGAGTCCATTAAACTTTTAAAATACCCTTGCAGGTTTTGATATAAACTTGGCAATAAAGTATTTCATTCCGTAGTAGAAAAGAAGGTGAAGTCATTTGATAAAGAAATTAGGACTCAGTAAAAGACACCATAGTTTCTCTAAGAAACGTATATACACACAGGCAGTGTAAAGTGTTCTACTTGATAAGAGTTGGATTTTTAAAAAATACTTGATCAGTCATGGAATTAAGGAAATATATCACAACAAATACTGAATTAGGTCTTCTGGCTTCCCTGGTTATTAGTGAGAGAAACACTTTTTTTGTCAGGAATGAGATTTAAGTTCCTAGAAATCATAAGTTTAAAAACTTTTGATTCTTTAGAATTTAGTTGACTGCACCAAATATTGTAGATACTTATAATGAATAGGAATTATATTGGCCTTTATTAAAAATACTATCTGGAGTCAAATGGTTTTGAGAGTTGATTTTAAAAAAATGCATAATGTTTTCTTAAAATATGGCATCAATGATAATATTTTGTTGTACTGAAAACTCTCCTGTTTATTAAGAGGAGATTTCAGCTAATGCTTAGTGTGTAAGTTGAATTATTGCCATTATTCTAGATAGGTATGTTTTGGAAGTGAGACAGTATTCAGGGACCTGGTGGAAAGTGTACCTTTGGGCACACTAAATACTGGCTTATAATAACAGTATCACTCTTGGGCACCTCATTGTTTCTGTTGAATTGGTATTCAGTAGAATTGACCTTAATTATTTAAGATGTCAGGGTACCCTTGTTTAAAAAAGAAAACCCATTGTTGCCAATGAGCACTTAGTGGCAGGAAAATGCATATTATACCTCCAAAGAATTGAGAGCATAACTTTTTGCACGTGTTGCATAATTACTTAGAAGGCACAATATTTAAACCATTCGTAAACTTAGCAAAATTTACCCAAATTAAGGGGAAGAGATTTCCATGTTCTTCTCCTCACCCCCATCTCTTATTAAGAATCAGATTTGTAACTTAATGTCACTTATTTATTTGGGAATACAATGTTTGTGCTTTCTTAGGGGTCTTTGTAGCTTATCTACAGATACTGTGTAGTGTGACCCAATGAACCTGCACTATAGCTGATATAAAATGGAAATATGATTAAAGAATAATGAGTACCGTTTTCAAATAAGTTAGTAAACTTGTTTTTTTTAAAAACACAATTCTTGTATCTTTTTAGAATCTTGTGTAAGATTAAGACAAAATTTAAAATAGTAACTCATCAGCATCTTCCTAACTTTGACTTTCTTAGTAAATGCACTCAACAAGAATATTATTTCTTAAAATATAAGTAGCTTTCACGAGAAGAAGGTGGAGACTGTGGGGTAATATAAGTGAACGTCCGTGGAAAATATTAACAGTTGTAAATTGTGGAAGATTTACTGCTGTTACTGCTGTTCTTTTCTTACTCTAATAATTGTGTAAAAATCTCAAATAGAGACACTACTAATGCTGATCGTAGAACCTAAGAAAATCTAGACTCCTGTCTATAACCTTTAACCTAAATGAACATGGAGAGTTATGCCTATTTTCCATGGATGGCTGGATGGTTTACATTGTTGTTGCTGATTTTGCTTTGAAAGGGGAGACCCAGGGATTTTGACTCTTATACCTAATACATTAGGTTTTGCTATAGCTTTTCAGTTTATTCTTGGCTGTCCCAGTAAAAATGGTTTTGTATATTATGACTTGTATATTTAATTTCCTCAGAAAAATTTTCCAGATCAAACATGTTAGAATCATATAAATAGTTGCAGGTACTAAATTGCTGACTAAAATTCCTGTTCAGTGGCAGTACAGAAAGCATCGTGTTTCTTGTATACTGCCTACAATGCGTCTTAAGTGTCCCTCTGGGGCATTGTGAAGCTGCTCTGCTTTTGCTTATGAACAAAAATGGGACAAGTAGTCATTCTGTTTAGCATCCCTCCTAACCACATGTCTGCCTTTTTAATGATATTTACTGACCAAAAACAAAAGCAATCAAGCAAACAAAACATCCATAAAACAGATTTAAAACATTTAAAGTGTAAAAGAAAAGTTGAGAAGAATAAAGTGAAAAGTGACTTAGTTCTATGTCAGAAAGATTCCTGGAGAGACATTGGAGGAGTGGAGAGCCTTCCAATATAATGCTTATTAAAATGATGCAGAGAAACCATGTTTGGAGCTGGCTGGGTTCAAATTGTACTTTTTTGAAGTGGTTTATTTGGATCTCCATGGAAGACTTGTGTGAACCATTTCTCATAAAGAAACGACCAAATTGACTTAGATGGGCAGTTTATTTTTATTAGGTGAATTACTATTCGCTAAGAATAAGCCAAGACCAATGATTCCATTTCACTGAGGAATGGAGAGTGGAATTGAGTCAAAGTCCCAAACGGGAAAGATCAATACTGTATTCCGTAAGACAAGCCCTAACAACAACAAGAAGTCAATAGCTGCTCATAATTTTTATTCCTATTTGTCGCCTAGGTTGATACTTATTCATATAGCTTTACCCAAATAAAAATGTTTGAGACTCTATGCCAATTTACAATTCATATTATAATAGAATGTGAGAAAAAGATATCCTTTTATATATTTTAGATTTAATTCAAATTTGTGAGCGCATCTTAAATGCATTGAAGCCTATTTTATAGTATGTAGTTTCATAACAAAATGCAGTTAGCAATGATATTCAAGGGTCAAAATAGAAACATGCCTGTTAGATACACGTCTTTTTACTGTGTTTCTCTATCATTTATTTCCCCTTTAGAATAATCTTAAATTCCTCAGATTATTTGGTTTTAGACTACAAACTAAATACAGTTGACCCTTGAACAACACGGGTTTGAACTGCACTGGTCCACTGATAGGCAGATTTTTTTTAATGCCTTGTGTGACTCTATCTTCCTGTTTCCAGTAAGAAGTGATCTCTGTGGTTCTCTCATCTTTTTCACTGTATATTACAATAATGTAAACCTTGAGTAACACCAGGGGACCCATGCAAAGTATCCTAAGAAACAGGGACAAGTCGTGATATTCCAGAAAAGTTGAATTGTATGGTAGATTGAGGTCTGCAGTGGCATTTGCCCACCATTTGAAGATCAGTGAATCTAGGGTTAGGACCAGTGTGAAAAAAGGATAGGAAATGTGTGGAACTGCCACTGCAGTCACATCAGGAAATGTGTAAACCTTATGCTTTTGGCAAAATACCTGTTTTAAGTCTCCTATTGAAAATGTAGCTTTTATGTGGGTACAGTGTAGAATATATATAACTTATAAACTATGTATTAATCAACTGTTAGAACCAGTAAGGCTTCCAATCAACAGTAGACTATTAGTAGTTAACTTTAGGGGGAGTCAAAAGTTATCTGTGGATTTTCAACTGTGTGGTGGTCAGGTCAAGCACCCCTAACCCCTGGATTTTCCCAGGGTCAGCTGTGGATGAAATGTTATTAGTTGTTAGTAGGTGCTGTCAAGTCAGTACTGACTCATTAAGACCCTGTGTACAATAGAACAAAACCCTGCCCAGTCCTGCGCCATCCTCACAACTGTTCCTATGCTTGAGCCCTTTGTTGCGGTTAGTTGTTTCAGTCCATGTCCTTGAGGGTCTTCTTCTTTTTCGCTGACCCTCTACCAGACATGATGTCCTTCTACAAGGTCCTTCCTGATAACATGTCTAAAGTACAGGAGAGGAAGTCTTGACATCCTTCCTTTTAAGAAGCATTCTGGCCATATTTCTTCCAAATAAAATATCAAATACAAAGAGAGAAAGAGAGAGAAAACAAAATGTGGAATCTGTAAAAGACCATTGTCTTCAAAAAAAAAAAAGACCATTGTCTTTAAAATACCTAGTGATTGGTATTGTTCTGTTGAAATTTTACTGGTCTCCTCTCCATTAAATGCATTTACTATGAAGGAGATAGTGATTCTATTTAATATAATATTTGTTCATTTGCTGGAGGGGAAATTACCAGAAAAATGAAGCTCTACTTCAGAAAGATAGTTGGTAAAAGTGAGATCTGAAAAGTCAGATATGAGTCTCCAGCCTTCCTGGGTTCTCCAGAGAAGCCAAGAGATGGATGGATGAATTTTACATAGGTTGGGAGATAGATACATACATACAGACTTGTGTACATATATGTTGTTGTTGTTAAGTACTATATTGAGTCAATTCCAACTCATAGTGACCCTCGTATAGGGTTCCTGAGGAGCAGCTGGTAGGTTTTATATAAATAAAATCAGGACATAGAGAAGCCAGCTAAAAGCACTCCACTGGAGATTTTAGAAAAGAGGATCTCTTCATTCCTTAAAGAAAAATAAATAATTCTTGTGTTCCTTATCTGCAAGAGTTCTCTCAATATTTCAAGAAATTAAAAAATACTCTAAATTACCACACGCCTAGAAAATATTCTACCCCACAACAGATTACATATGTTTTGTAAAGTCTTTTTAAAAACATAGGTATTTATAAAACATATGTAATCTGTTAAAAAGTTATTGGAAAACAAAAGTTATAAGGCTATATTGGAAATATATTAGAATCTTATTATAATATGGCTCATTATTCTGGAACACAGATTTCAAGAGAGCATGGGTTCAATTGTATCCCCTAAAACATAACAATACAAAACACAAGCCCAGTCCTGGTGTGGCACAGTGGGTTAATGTACTAGACTGCAAACTTGGTTTGAACTGCAAGGCAGGTAGTTCAAGCTCACCAACCACTCCTTGGAAACCGTATATATGGTCACTATGGGTTGGAACTTACTCTACGGCACTTAACAACAACAACAAACAACATA